CGGCCGCCCGTGCCGCTGCTCACGCGGCCGTTGTGCCCCGCCGCAGATTCGCCCAGCGTTATGGACATCTCGATAACCTCCGACGCGGGAGAGAGGAGCCCCAACGTCAACAACGTGCCGGACTACGTCGGCGATATCCACACGTACCTCAGGGAAATGGAGGTGAGAAGCTGCGAGCTGCCGCGGTTCGAGCAGGGCTAAGGGCGGGAGAAAGCCCGGGCCGAGAAACGTACCGGAGCGCTACTTAACTGCTACGGTGGCTAAAGCAGAAGGCTGCTAGAAAGGGAGAGGGAGAAGATGGGTGCTGTGTCCGCTGCTGCGAACGCAGGACTGCTCTTGCGTCCTGTGACTGTGCTACGCGCTGCGGCCTAAGCGGGAAAGCAAGACTACAGAAAAAGTGCTTGCTGATCCTACGTTTGCCGTTGCTGGCTGCTTCTGCCCTGCTTAAAACCCTTTAACTACGATAAATAGAGTTGAAATGCCTGCTTCCCTGCAAGCACTTAATGCAAACTAAACCTTGTATGTTATCAAAACTTACAGGTGAAATGCAAGCCTAAAATGGGTTACATGAAGAAGCAACCTGATATCACAAACAACATGCGGGCTATTCTTGTGGACTGGCTGGTGGAAGTTGGAGAAGAATACAAATTACAGAATGAAACCCTGCACTTAGCTGTAAATTACATTGATCGGTTTCTTTCTTCAATGTCTGTTCTAAGAGGAAAACTGCAGCTTGTGGGTACTGCAGCTATGTTGCTTGCATCGTAAGTGAAACTGCTTAATTTAAAATTCCACCTGCTGGTCTCATACAGATGGAAATCTTCTCTTGTGGCTATCATGTTTTGTTGTCTGTAGGCAGACTGACTAGGGATGGTTTCACACTAGGTAAGAAGCAGCAGTTATCCCCCTAAGAGCTTGGTAGCCTGTGTCAAACTCTGCAAGCGAGGTTCTAGGCTGTGTTTGTGGATTGGCCTAATGTGAGGATTCGTTATTTCTAGTTGCGGCAGCAAAAGACTTTTCAAACGTATTTGGGGGAAAGAACGTGAAAAGGAAATTTTGCTCGCAACTGTTAGTCTCCTAACACTTTCAGGAACTTCAGTAACTCTTGAGTCCCAAAGTACTTAATGGTAAAATTGCTGAGCGTAGCTCTCCGTAACTTCAGAGTCTGCAGATCCAAGACCTAGTGAACTGGATGCAGCAAACTTATTGAGTTACAGTATACAGCTACTTGTCTTTCACTAACTGTTGCTGGTTACTTGGTTCTCTGCTACGCAATTACTTGCTTATAACTGTTCTTTATGGCAGGAAGTTTGAAGAAATCTACCCTCCTGAAGTGGCAGAGTTTGTCTACATCACAGATGACACCTATACCAAGAAGCAAGTTCTAAGGATGGAGCACTTAATTTTGAAGGTTTTGTCATTTGACTTGGCAGCTCCAACGATCAACCAATTCCTTACCCAGTATTTCCTACATGAGCAGACAAGTGCTAAAGTTGAGAGCTTATCAATGGTAAGTAAGAATTAATAGTTGAATCTGCGTAACTGGAAAGTTATCTTATTAAGGCACCTTACAAGCTCTGTTTTCTATTCCCAATAGAAAAGGAAAAATGGTAAAGGATACTTCAGTCCAGGCTTTTCTGTCTCCCAGTCTTTCTTAAATCAGTAACGTGACTCCTGAGGAGACTTCTGGAGAGCGCGCCTGCTGTGCCATGTGCTCCTCCAGTGGTGGGGCTCTGCCATTGGAAACTAACACTTTTGTCTGCTACTTAGTAGTGGAGCTACTCTGGCACCTGACCTGGCTCAAGCATGAATGCTTACTCAAAGCAGGCTGAGATTGATAAATTCAGGGTCTTTTTCCGTGCTGGATGTTTTCCCTGATGCTTTCCCACCTAAAATTAACACTCTCCTCCCCAAAAAGGGACATCGTTTCTTAAGTCTCCATGTTAAAATTTCCTGTGGAAACTGAATAGGGATCAATGCATAAACGTATTGGTCACCGAAAACTAACGTCTTGAATAGCTAGTATCTTGTCTGGGTGGACTTGTCCACTCAGTGGTTCAGTTTGGCTAGAAAGGACACTCACTTGTTTTTTGGGGAACAAGCATCGAGCTTTAAATCCAGAAGCTATTTTTTCGAAGCAAAGCAGAGCAAACATCTCGGGCTTATCTGGATAAAGTTAAGCTTTCTTAAACGCAAAGATGCCAGGTGTGGCAGGTGCCAGAAACGCTAAATGGAAGCAGTTGTCTCGCTAGGCGAAGGTCAGACGTGACTGGACTCTTCCCTCTAGATCTTACTTACCTCTAAAGATAAAAACGTGGTATTGAAACAGTTTGCATGGGAACAGTGTTTGACTATGGCTAGCACAGATGCTGAGAGATGTATTTCTTTGGTATATTCCTCAAGTTTTGTTGCTGTTCAGGGACTCCCAGAATCAGAGGTGTTTTAGTTGGTCAGCATTTTTCATTTTTCCTGTGCCACTGTCTAATGCCTTTGCCTGTGTCCACTTTGCCTTGAACAGAATTTCAATGTTAACTTGAAGGAACAAATCTGTGGGCCAGCTCACTAAGGGCAGTAACTGGGTTTCCCCGACTGATGGCAGGACTGGACGTTTAAATTAGGGTCCCAGTGAAACTGTTTAATGGTGGTCTTCCCTTTGGAAGCAGATGATTCCCTTTCTCTTGTCTTCCTTGCAGTATCTTGGGGAGCTGAGTCTAATTGATGCTGATCCTTATCTGAAATACCTGCCATCAGTTATTGCTGCTGCAGCATTTCATCTAGCAGGCTACACAATCACTGGACAAACTTGGGTATGTAGCACTGAAACTGAGTCTTCAGATCCTTTTATGCATCCCGTTACGCATGTGTTCATATGCAGTTCTGCATCCTCTGGCTGAAGCTGTCCTTTGGGCTTAGGCTGCAGGACTGACAGCCCCTTCTCACCAGGAGCCTGTTAAGTAGGGATTGTTCCCTCTGGCACTTGAAAGAGAAGGGGATGTGGGGTTTGGGGGGGGGGAACCCTTTTCTGGGAAGGGAGAAGCATCTGCTGATGTGCTCTGTTCTTGTGATTCTCTTAAAAGCTGTTAGCAGCTTTCTTGGGATGAGAAAGTGAGCAGAAAGAAAAGCTAAGCAGTGGAGGCAAGGAATACTTCTAGTTTCTGCCTCTAAAGGATGTGATAGTTTTCAGGATTAACGTAAATCTACATGAACTGCTGAAATCTGAGCAGTGAATATTAAACTGCTTGGTGCTTTAGATAACCGTACGCCCCCCAGCCTATGAGGACAACAGCAGAATACACTATTCTCTGGTTTCAAGGGGAAGCATCAGTGTAAGCTAATGGAAACGTGCTCAAATGTTCCTCTTGCTTTTCTTTTCCTCAGCCTGAATCTCTGTGCAAAGTAACAGGCTATACCCTTGAAAACATTAAGCCTTGTCTCATGGACCTACACAAGACCTACCTCAAAGCAGCACAACACACACAACAGTCAATAAGGGAAAAATACAAAAGCACAAAGTGAGTATATGTAAAGATGTATGATAAATTAATGTTAAGCATGAGTTGTCCTAGCATGTAATTTTGCTAAACTGCAGATTTTAACCTCAGATGAGTTTTAAGTCAGACTAAACTAACCAAATTGGTTATGTAATAAGTGAGACTGTGACAAGACTCTCCCAAGATTTCTGGCATGGTGCTTTGTGGAGCAATACTTCATGTTCACCAACAGGCTAGCGATTGCTACCCAAACCCTAAGCTGAACTGTCCTGTGGAAACTGGAGGAATTTTCTTGAAGTTTCTACAATTGGTAGTCAGGAGACTACCTAATGCTCCTAAAAATTGGTGTCAGCACGGCAGCTGACAAGCTCCAAAACGTTTTGTTGGTCCTGCCTTTAGTGAAACGTGCTTTGCTGCAGTATGTATGCTATTCTTTCCAGCAGAGAGCACTTAAGTGAGATTACATCCTGCATGTTTTCTTCCTCCTCTAGGTACCATGGAGTATCGCTCATTGACCCACCAGAGACACTAAACTTATTGTAATAATCAAGAGACTGATCTTTTTTAAAAGATGTATATTACCTTTGCGAGAAAATGATGTACAGTTTTAAACAGGGTTCAAAAATCTAGATGTGATCATTCAGAATATTAATACAGGTTTTGATGAGCTTAATTATGAAGTTAGTTTTATGTGGTTTTAATGTAAATCTTTTGTACATGCAATCTTGTTAAAATATTTAGCTGGATTTTTTTTATAAAAACGTTCTCTTCAAGCACAGAATTAACCATGCAGACTAAGTGCATGTCTGAAACTGCTTATCTAATTATAGAATAAACAGTAAAAATAGCAGTGCATTAAAGTAGGGCTTTTTCTCTTTCCAAGTGAGAGTGACTTGGACTCCACAACAGTATTTGTAGCATTTTTCTACTGTCTAGTTTAAACTGAGACTTAGCATAGACCTAAAATATGGCTGAACAGCTACAATATTGGAAGAAACTGCATAGCTACGAGGAGAACACCTTGCTGAAGTTAACTTTTGTGAGACTCTTTAGGATGTGTTAAATACTGGAAGCCTGGACTTCTACCTAATATACTGCCAGATCGCTGTCAGGTTAAAGGTTGTTCTACTGCAGGGACTGCATGGCTCAAGCAAGTATATCAGTTCACACTTCTCTCTTCTTGTATGTAGCAAGTGGTCTTGCTGTAGGTATTTTCTGGTCAAAGTGTAAAGCAGATGCTAATTTAAGTCCACAGAGCTCCCACTAATGTATTAGCTGCCCCAAAATCCCATCAGTCTCTACTAAAAAACTCTGGTCACCGGTCTGCTTGCTCAGCACTGTGGTGGTGGGATTAAACTGCAGCGGGGTGAACTGCTGCTGTGTCCTCAAGAGGAAGGAAGGAATGCCTTTTGGCTTGGATGGACTGTGTGCAGAACGGTCCTAACTGCACATCCCTTATCCCTTGAGAAGGGTTTCTCTGCAGTATACAGCCAAAATGTATCCAGCTTGTCTTAATTTCTCTTAATTACTAGAACGGCTGCACAAACAAATTAGCAAATCGGTGTTGGATCAAACGGACACTCACCTCAACCTTCACTATAAATGGAGTGATGTTGTCCTGTACCTACTGCGCTTGCTTTGAACGTAAAGCAGTGAATGAATGGAAGTGGATTTTTAAATGAGCCGTTTCCAGGTTGGCTAATAAACAATCTTTACATCTGATGTTAGTGGTGTTGCTGATACCTTAAAACAACTGACAGTTGCTAGTATTAGCATCGTAAATGGGCATTCTTTTCTAAATCCTTGCAAGGACTGCCCTGTGAAACCTGTGCCATTGTAACTTGAAGTTAATTAACAGAGGTGTATGGATAACCAGAGAGACGCAGAGTACCAGTATGAATTCTATATATAACGTGGAGCAGTTGGTGTGGTGTGGGCTATAAGAAGACAAGACATCAAGCCCTCTGTCAAGCTGACAAGCATGCATTTTGGTGAGAAAATTCACATGTCAGCTCAGTAACTAAAAACTTGCTGCTCTGTCTGCATGCCTGCTAAATCCCACCTCACCCCTGCTCAGTCCGTGGTCTGAGCCCTCCACTAACCAACAGTTAACAGAACTCTACTTTTGTCTTAACTTCATAAACCGACACCACTAAACTATGCAGCAGAGAGGCCACCCTTTTTGGCAGATCTGAGCTTTTTTAGGATGCACTTTGACAGAAAGCTTATATGTATTCTAATGTGTAATGAAGAACCATATTTCATTAGTCTTCCTTGTTCTTCCAATAGCCTTCATTAGCTCAATTGCAATAGCTTGCCCCTGAAAAGCTAAAACTTGTTTGATAAAACTACACAGTATCATGTCTGGTGCTTAGTATTGGAAATACTCTAACCTTACAGGGGAGTGAGTTTAAATAGACATTTAAAACATGTGCTCTTTTGCCATAGTTGCAACATCAGTTGGTGACCTCTGATGGTCAAACAAAAACACTGAATGGCCACTATTCTTTGAAGACCTAGAGCACAGTGTTCTTCCTGAGAAACTGGGTCCTACCTTCCCCTTTTTGTGGCAGATAATGGGAACTTTAAAGACCACTAAGAAGTGCAAACATAAGGGGAATAATTTAAAGCTTAAGGAATTACTTTTCCCAGAAAAGAACAAGATACCAGCCCTCAGGTGAAAGACTTCAGTAGTTTACTGTATTTACTGCTTAATGAAATGTCTCCTTGCTCTGTTTTGGATAAAAAGTATTGTTGTTGTTTCTGTAGCACAGAGAATAATGCTCCCTTGCTCCCTAAGCTTTACTTTCAGCATATGGTATCTGGTATGACTGCCTGCACAGCCTAAAAAAATGCTTCAGCAATGGGTTGGCATCTCGGCCTGGTGTGATGCTATTCCTCCTGCCACACTGACAGCTCTTCTTGCTGCAGTAACATCCTTTTCTATCTTTTCAGTTTCTAAAGCTTGCAGGGGGAATTTCTAGCTCTCGCGACAGAGCTTTGAACAAAGAAGCCCAGGCTGCACTGTACTACCCTTTTGTCTATCCAGTGTAATTATTTCTCACAATTCTTTCAAAAGGAAAACTAAGGGATGTAGGGTATGCACTATTATGTGTGAAAATAACAGGCTCCCTAAAGAACAGTTGCAAGGAACACCGTTCTGTCTTACTGAACAAGTTGGAAGAAACCGACTCTTCGCTCATTCCTGTGCTTGGAACAGCCATTTCCAATCAGAAGAACTGACACTAAGAAAATGCACTGGTTTAAGCTCCTGGAGGAACAGCATTTGTTTGTCCCTTTCTGAAAGAGCACAACTTGATTCAAGTTGATAATTAACAAGGCGGTTTTTTTTCCCCTCCCTAAGTTCTAAAACAGATTTGGGGATGTAATTATCTGTGCCAGCAACTTCTTTCCTGTTTATATTTCATGAAATTCTGAGGTCCCATGTAAAATAGTCCTACTTTGCTCTTGTACATATGTGTGTGTTTCGGATTTGACTCAGTTTTCAAACAAAGCAGCTCGGACACTGTGGAAGCCTCTTCTTTCCTTCTGCTTTGTTTTGCCTGATTTTAAATTCAGAGCATAATTCTTTGACTATGGCGCAAGAAGCGTTCCTGTTTGTTGCATGTAATATTTAATTAAACTTTTTAAAAAACGAGATTGCTGAACTGTAAGTCACTCTTATATTCCAGATTTGCAGCCTCTTGTCCTGGCCAGAAGCTGTATGCGATTTTGTTAAGTAGTTGCATTTCTGTTGATTTTTATACAAAGCAATTTTAGAGAAGGTAAGATATGGAGTGATATGGGAAAGAGGTCTTAGCCAAAGTACATCACTTCCTGCTTTGACCTTTCTTTCAAGGTGTGATACAGCTACATTAGTCAAAAAAATCTTTTCCTGACATTAAGCTTAAGCCACACTTCCTTTTACCAACTGAACTCTGACTATACATAGCTTACAATAACTAAAACTGTTGATTTATGCTCATTTAAGAAAGAAAGAGTTGCTGGGACTGCTCCCTTAAGAACATTATCTATCCTACGTGTTCAACTCAAGTTAAATAACTTGAGGCAGTTTAGCAGGATACTACCAGAGAATTTAATTTATATGCAGACTTTATTTAAAGATGTGTACAAATATGTAAAATGTACATGGAAGCAGACCCAAATTTAGGGAGGGAGGGAAGAAAATTATCTACAAAAATGTCAGTAACAACAGACAAATTATGTATTATACAGTGTTTCTGAAGGACAGGTGATAGCTTTAATGAACAGCTCTCTTCTTTTTTCTCTTTTTGTTAAATGTTTTCTTACTTGTATTTTCTTGTTTCAAGTTGGTCTGTGTTCTGTGATCAAACAACATTTTAACAAGGTAACATATTAAGCAATTTAATTTTAAAAGAAGGTAGGTTAATTCTCTGTAACAGGGCAATAGTCATCCACGATGCTGAGCACAGAGCTCGCTCTTAGTTTCCAGTGAATGTTTAAACACAGTAACTAGAGTTTCAATGGCTAATGAAGAGATACAGCAATAAAGGTAACCGCCGAAAGATTAAAATTTAAGATAAGTGTAACAGGCAGTCTCTGCAGCATCTCCTAAGCAGCAGCTGCTTCAAATCCACTTTTATGCTCTTATTCCCTTTGGTATGATTAAGATTAGTGAAACACGTATAAGCCCCTCAAACAGCTGCAGATCAGCCGGGACTACTGACATCAGAGAGGAGCAAACTAGTATAGATTTAAACTTCTTGGACTATGCTGACTCTGCCATGCCCTTGATCACTGGAATCCTTGTCTTGGCCTCACCAAAATTCTCAGTGCATGCTAGAGAGCAGTGTTTTCAACACCTGATGCTTTCAGAGACTACTCCTTACCTACTCCTTCCCCCTGTTATTTTCACATTATGGTTACCTTGTTTTCTTTGGTGCTTCCTGTGGTTCCAGGATGACAACTTCTTCCTCTTCACTGTCAGACAATACAATAGGTTCATCTTAAAAAAAACAAAACAAAAAAAAACAAAACAAAAAAACAGTTTTGTACAAACTTCTGTAACTACACCATTTCTAAAGAAATATTTAAAGTAGAAAGACTGAGGCTCACTCCTGTTAGGGCATTATTTGGAGCAATAGCTCTTAGTATATCAACAGAAAAATTTCTTTTGAAGAAAACAGAAGTGTCCAGGTGAAATCTAAGTAGCAAGTGAGTGTCTGTCTCAAGTAGAAAGTGGCTATGCTAGTTTCCCTTTCTTGCTAAGGCGATCTTTCACATTTTAGTTCTAGATAGTTAACAAAGTGATGTTATATCTAATAACAAGATAAACACTCACCTTTCTCAGTTTCGTTCATAATACTTGTATCCTCCATTTCCATTTTCTGACATTCAAAAGCAGTAGCATCACTTTCGCCTTCCTCTTCTACTGTTTCTTCCCTCTCGGAATCTTCAAGGTCTCCCCAGGCGTTCTCTATTCCTTCCCCGATTTGGGCTGTCCCAGGGGTGTGTAGTATTGGTTTGGTAAAACTTTCAAGTAGGTAAGAAAAATCCCAATTATCTGGTAATGTTTGTATTCTTAATGCAAAATAGTTGGATTTTAAGCTGTCTTTTCTCCTCAGGCCTGACATGGGAGGTAGGAGAGAATACTTCCTCCCTGGGGAGACTTAACAGTTTCGTTTGATTTTCTCACACGGATTTGTTATATAATAGCCAGTCACCTCCGACCACGGTTTTGCAGTTTATGTTATGAATTAAATTATCTAAAGGCAGTTAGTTACTACCAAAACCAGAACGATGGTGATGTTTTATTTGAAGGCTGTGAGGCTATAGCTAAGCTGTGAGGAATTTTGGCTATGCGTTTAGCTTCTAGTAGTGCTAAAGTGGCAGTGGAGGGGAAGCCTGTTTTTTCCTCTGAATGACAATAAAAAAGATACACTTCTGAAGGAGGGTCAGCTTTAGTGATGATGTCTTCTGCTTGTTCTTCCACATTGTTAGTATCAACAGCAGCTCTTTCCATTTTGAAAGCAGTGATCTTTTGATTGGGTATAGACTCCGCAAAGCCGAACTTCCCACCTTCTTTCCTAGTAATTCAATGACAAATGTTATTTCAGGATGCTTGTTTCTCATTTATAAATGCTCTCTCTTTTCAAGCTCAGCTATATATACACTTAACACTTGTTTAAAACAGCTACAAGTAAAAAACATTATATATATATATATACACACACACACACACATACATATATATACATACATACATATATATATATACACACACACACACATATACATATATTTCGCTAGTCATACTAAAGGTTAGCATTAATTTTTAGCATGTTTCTTAAGAATGTTGTTTTCCCCTCTTTCCCAAAACGCTCACCTAACTTTCTGGTCATTCTCCAATGCCTTTTGAATTAGTTCTGTTATTTCTGCAACTTTAACAGCTGTTATTTTACTGCATCTCAGAACCTGTTTGAAATATATATAACAGCAGTTTACAATTGTGAAAATAAGACATTTTAATCAAAAACCTGTAATACACTGGAGTCACAAACACTTAAAATACAATATGGCATCTTAGGATGAGGGTCTGGATACACTGTAAGCTGATGGTAATACAAGGGCCTCTAGCTATAGCAGTCTAGGTTCCTTTATAGCCTCCATCAGCCAAATCACAGCAGGGGAGGTGGAGGGGGGGAAGCATATCTGACCAAGCAACGTTGCACTTGGCTACATCTCTTCCCCAGCACCACTCAGAGCTGCATGCTTTTCCACTAGGGACTAAAACCATACCTTTTCCAATGAAATCACGGATAATTGTTTTCCTAGATTCAAAATGTTAAGGACTTTTCAGTATCAACATGACAGTATAGGAAGTCGCTTACATTTGAGAGAAAGACTGGCTGAGGCAAAGATTTACCTGCTCTTTTAATAGCATAATCCCACCACTGGACTGGATGGTACAAATTTCACGATGTTTATTCATGGCAATTACAAGGAGGCCATCCATTACACGTTCTTCTCTTTCACTTGGATCCACCAATAAATAGGTCCTAAAATCAAGTTTTCGAATATAATGCAATACTAAAAGTTTAAGGCAAGCGAGTTACTACTCTCAAGAAAATCTAACCGGAGAATAGGTTTAAATGGAAATAATTATGATTATACCTCCCCACCTTCAACCCAAGAAAGTTTTCTACGTTGTCTGTGAAAGGTACTGGTTACTTAAGCTTGTGCAGTACACCCAAGTATCTCAGTGACACCTCATTTCAGATAAAGTGTTTTAAGAAATAAGCCTATCAATACAAACATTGTTAAGACTCTTCTACATTTATTGTAGAATTGACAATAGGCTGCTTCTGTCAAAGACTTAACAAAAAGCTTACCCTTCTTGGAAGAAGGCAAAACTGACACAAATAGGCATGTGATGGATACTCAAAGGGACAGGATCACGCTCCTCAGGTGTGTACTTTAAAAAGAGTTGGCCAGAAGACAATTATTTACAAAACACGTATTTGATTTCAAAAGGATGTACTGTTCACACAAGATATTTAAAGGAATAAAAAGCAAAAAAAAAAAAAAAAAGGCACATGAACTTTTAGTCATCTAAATATTAACAAAAATCTTTCTAACTATTCTTGTGTAATCCTTTCTGTTTATTACCTACACAGGTAAATGGAGCGCATTCTTCATTCTCATATTTGATCCAGTTGAAATACTGCTCATCAGTTAACACATTCTGTAAAATACTTATATTTTACAATTAATGTTCCCACAAAGCTGAAGTTGATAAAATTCAGTATTCAGCAGGCTCACTCACTATCCTCTCACATGTTCTGCAGCAATACATTTATCCTAAAGCAGTATGTATCTTGGAGTTCATCTATTTACATAAACATTTATTTTTGCTCTCTCAGACAGAGAGGAACAACTAACTGTGATCCCACAGCACTTACTATGGGCTGATATAACTTACCACAGTTACTTCCTCTCCTTGTACAGATACATCTGGTCTGCGAAAATGACACAAAGCTACAATTCCTGCTATGCTAGCAGCATCAATAATGTTCCCGTCATGATTTAACAGATGCAGGTCCACACGAATTTGCCAAACCTAAGAAAAAGTATACATAATAACTCAGTAATTTGTAACATGATTCCACAGAAGCTGTCATTTTTCAAAATGCTTTCAGCTTTTGAATCGTTAAAGGAAGCAAGGGATAGTCTTCAGTTCTTGGCTTAAGAAGTTAGGATGAAAAATCTTGGTAAACAAGGCAGTGACCACCTTAAAAGCAGACCATACGCATCCTCTAGTATAAAACCACCTGGAAATCGGTAGCTCTCCATACCTTTTCACCAGCAATAACGCAGAGAGATTCTGTATCTATACACTTGGAGTTTCTCAAGCATCGTTCTATTAGTCTGTTCAGTTTCACCAGTAATTCAGATTGCCTGTTAAAATAAAATCACCCCAGATCGTGTATGATTGCACTGCATATTTATATGTATCAAAACAGTGGCTCTTACGTTGCCCTGTTTTTAGTCTTTTTAAGAAAGCTACATACCTGCCAGGCTCAAAGGCAGGTGCAGCCATTGGTGAGAGCTCAAGGTTGAAGAAAAGTACGCCTTCTGCAGCCCGATTTGGCTTGGGGGGAACAAGTTCACATGAGACTTGTCCAAGAACCCTGCAGAGGGAAATAAACCCCCAGGCCATAGAATTTAGTAGGAAAAAAAACCCTACCACTAGAAACAAAATATATTCACTGAAGAAATGTGCATTTGGGCTTTTATTTTGCAGTACTGTCTTCTCCCAGTTTCTACCCTGTCATACATGTTTAAATGCTAGTCTCTAATTGAAAGGACTGAACGCAGACATTAAAACATTGTCCCAAACTTTAGGATTAAACCAGAATCAAACACATGAGAATTAAGAACTAAAAGTTTATTTAAGTGCATATGCTCCACTTTTCCCCATACATACAAGGGACATCTGATTTGTGGAAGACTGCAAAATGTATGAGGTCACTGAATAACAGTATGCAAAATTAAACAGTATCTATAATTGCTAAGTTTTTCTTAACCTACCAGCAACACGGAAATCCCATCCTTTCCCTCTCCTTTCCACTCCAAATTATCACATACGCTCTTACTCCTGAACTGCTACCGCTTTTAGGCTTCGGCCCTTAAAACCCCTTTATGGCGATTTCAGTGGGCTTCCAAACGCCTCTCATCCAATGCTGAGCGTTTCATCTGCTTCTGCCGGTTGGGAAAGTGTAACGTTTTAAAGTGAGAGCGCCGGCAGCGCCTGAGCCATCTTCACCGGGCAGCGAAGGCAAGCTCGGGCGGCTCGTTCCCGGCCGGACGAGTCCCCCCCCCTCCCCCCCGCCTACCTGGTCTTCCCCAGCTCCACGATGCAGCAGCCGTAGTCGGCGCCGAAGGAGATGCCCACGTTGCGGTAGTCATAGCCCTGCCC